GAATTTGGAGGCTGCTCCTTGGAAACCAAACCAAGGGGGAGGCAGCTGCCAGGGCATTCAGAACCCAGGCCTCACGAATCCCATGGTAATCTTTCGACTGTACATCAATGCGCCCGTTACTGAACTCAAGGGATTCGGCCTCAATGGGTTGGGGGGGGTGTGCTTTTGAGGGGTTAGCTCAGCTGCAGAGGTCTCACTTTCAGAACATCCAAACAGAAGGCGTGCCCAGATTCAGAGGTGGCTCTTTCCTGGGAAGGGGCCCTTTATGCCCCTCCCTTGCAGGAGTCGGGGGGGGGAGAAAGCGCCCCACCTTCAAGGCAGAAGAGGGTTCCAGCCCACTGAGGGTCTAAGGCCCTGAAGCTGCCCTCTGCACCCCGCTGGCTCTCCTTCCAGGTGGGACATGGGAGAGCGATGGACACCAAAGAGCCACAAGGGGCTTAGCTTAAAACACCCACCTCAGTGCAAACTGTATCTAAAACTGGGATTGCCCCAAAAGCAGAATGTGGGTGAAGAGCTGACCCCAAAGCTCCCTTCTCAGTCCATCTACGGACTTTCCTTGGGGCAGCCTGGTGGCCAGGGGTCCACATTCAGACCAACTGTTGCTCTCTCCCCCAGAAGGTCAAGGGAGGGGTCACAGAGGCAGGACATGTCCCCACCCGCCCAACTGGATTGGACTGGATTCGAGGGGGGACGGTCTGAGCTCTCTGGGAGAACCTCTGGATTCATGCTTTGGCGGTGTTTGGACTCTGCCAAAGGTAGCATTACCTGTTGCTTTATCGAGGCCAGGAGTCAGCAACCCACAGCTCTGGAGCCGCATGTGGGTCTTTCATTCCTCTGCTGGGCTCCATGTTGCTGGTCAGTTTTGAGAGGAGCTTACAGTTTGAGGAGGGGGAAGCACAGCGCACCAGGAGGACACTCTATGGTAAGGGGTGAGTTTTCCAGTCAGCCCCACAATTGATAGGGCTTTCAGTTAGGACAGGTAGAGGAAAAAGGAGACTCTATGGTGGGGGAACCAGACTTCCGGTCAGCTCCAGAATTGAATGGGGGGGGGGGGGGCTTCCGGTTAGGACCTTCTTTGTGGCTCTTTGAGTGTTTAAGGTTGCCAATCCCTGATCTAGGGCAAAGGAAATGCCAATCCTCTTTTCCTCAGCAGCTCCTTTTCGCCAATCCGGATTAAGAAAGGAGCCACCAGCACTCACCCTGCACAGAGCCCACCAGAACCAAATGGGGGTCTTGCTACTCACCGGCCCTCCTTCAGGATCTCGGATATAGCCGTAGGCAATTGTTTTGTTGATAGCGTGTCCAAAGTCTGCCCTTCGGATGTGCCCCACCACCTGGCCGTTGCGCCAAATGGCCTCCAAGCCAAAGAAGGGGACTTTCCTGCAATACAGAGGAAGCCGCTGCCTTAAGGGAGGCCAAGCAGAGCCCGCACCTCACCACAGTCCCTGGGGAGCCAGGCTGAATTAGGCACAGGCTGCTTCAGTAGGCCCTTTGGGGCAACAGGCTGCTTTGACATCACCCGGCAGCCAGGCTGGACACACCTGGTCAGCAGGAGCAAGAAGATGGCCAAGGTCAGCTGGGGTGCAAAGCCCGGGGTGGGTGCAAGGGTCTCTTTGGAGTGCAACCAGGGCTGGGACTGGGTTGGGGCCGCTGAGACTTCCTTGGTGGGGCAAGGAGCCTCCAGCAATGCTATTCAAGGCAGGTATAAGTGGCCAAAAGGACAGAGAATGGCGAGGCAGCCCTTAACTGAGGCTCAGGTCGGGGAGGGGCTCGGCTTGGGGTGGCTAATTGACTTCCCAGTGGCCACACTGGGAATGCCAGATGGCCATCACAATTCAGTCCTGTAATGTCTTGCTTTACAACCTCATTGCTCTTCATTCCACTCCCAACTGTGATTGTAAGACAAGGACTCCCTGTAGCTCTGAGTTCACTCAAGCTTCTCTGGGACTTTTAAAAGTCCCAGAACATGACACACCAATTCCAGATGGCATCTAACCAGCGCGCAAGGGAACCATTGCCACAGATCCGAACCAGCACAAAACTGGTCGCCATTTCAGCCACTGCAGGCACCGCTTGCTCATGACCTAGAACCATATTACCCGATCCAATCCTTCTAATTTTCAGGACAATTTTAACCTTACTTCAATCTGAACATCTTCAGGGCGGACATGATAGACTTGACTATTTGGAGAACTAGTAGCAGAAATTTTGAGTAGTTCGGAGAACTGGCCAATCCCACCTCTGACTGGCCCCGCCAACCCCATCTCTTCTCTGCCTCCCATTGAGTCCCAGCTCCTTTGGTTGCCCTCCACAGGAGAAGAGAGATGGAAAGTGAGTGGGAAGGGAATGGGATTTTGCAGTATATCCTTCCCCTGCCACGCCCACCAAGCCACGCCCACTAGAACTGGTAGTAAAAATTTTTGAATCCCACCACTGTTCCAACCCCAGGATTCCGGAAGGGGGGTGGGAATCCTACTGTGGAGTCAGCAGTGAACATTGTCAGAAGGTGAATACCGCAACTCAGCAAACTTTAAATAAAATCTGTTACGAAAGATCAATGTTCGGGTACCTCTGAGCAACACGTTTTGAGATTTCAAAACTGATGATCCAGAGGGGAGGCCCTGGGCAGATGGGGGTGGGACGGCCATAGCTGCCACCAACTACTCACTCGTCAATGGTGAAACAGGCCAGACGGCGGAAGAGACCAGCGCCCTTCTGGGCCTCAACTGCCTCCCGTCCCAGGAAAGCCACCTCCGACTTCAGCTTGCAGGTGAAGGCCAGTCCGGCTTCCAAGGGACTGTCGTCTGAGCGGAGGTCTGCATGCCAGTGCCGATAACCTGGTGGCCCCAAAAGAGGCTCTATGTCAAGACTGAATGGCTTCTACCAAGTCATCCCCTCGTCTGCACAAGTAGCCCTGCCTATCACTGAACTATTAAAAACGGACAGAGGGGGTGTGCTGTCCAGTTTAGAGTTAATGGGATTTGGGATAGTTAATTAGGAATTGAGAACTGCCCCCTTAAGGGAATGCATCATGATAAATGTAATTAAGGTATCCTGGGAAATGTAGTCCATGTCATGTGGTCACATCTGTAACCCTGATTGGTCACTAAATTGACCCTTGTTGGGTTGGGGGAGGCTCCCTCACTCTTGCCTGAATCCATTACCATGCAGCTGCTTCAATCATCATGGGGATGAGACTTTATTATCTTTCTACACCATAATGCAGATATGCAAAGGATTGGACATTAAGAAGAACCTCGTCATAACTGTGAGTTGATAAGGATGCCTGATGAACTAATAAAAAAGACTTTGTATGGATGCTTTGTGGAGTTGCTCTGTCTGCTTTATATCCATCCAGAGCAAAATAAGCAGAACGGGGAGTGAAAGCAAACCGAGCCAGCCGCTCAGATGGACTGTGGAATGTCAAGTGGCTTTCGAGAAGCTTGGGCGGCTTTTTGTGGGAGAGCCAACCGTTAAACACCCGAACCCAGAGGAGCCGTTTGTAAATATAAGCCGACATGTCAAGATGGAACCACTCGGCTTCTTTCAAACCCTAATGCTTTTCAACTTGCCAATGAACTGGGGGCAGGGAAGGGGAAAACAAAATGCGGAGAATGTATGCGGAGAGCATGGAAACCATCAAGGTCACCACTGCAGGTGCTGGAGTAAGAGAGGAACTGTTCCCATAATAAGAGGACATCTCATAATTGGACAATGAGAAGGGGAAGGTATTGTTTAACTAGGCAAGCAATTGTGCGGAAAAACCTGAGCTTGTTTCTTCAGTACCAACATTACCATGTCCATATCCAATAAAGTCCATTACCATATCCAATAAAGTTTTACTTTTGGGAATTCAAATCTCCCAAGAGTGTCTCCTTGTTTTGGGTTCACAAGTTGAACAGCCGACACTCCATTCCTAGAGGGACCCGAAATATATGCCAAAATCTTATAAGGTATAAGATTGAGGTATAAGATTTAATAGCTGCCAGCTGCTGTAAGGCTGATGCAATAAGGATGAATCTGCATAGCAATGGGTATTGCCCTTTTAAGATGAAGAATGGGTTCACAGAAGTATTTACCCCTTTAAGAGGTGTTTATATAAGGCTGACATTAGAGGGCATGTTCTCTCTCCTTGTGTTCTGTATCCATTGCAGAGTTCTCCATGTAGAATTAAGATTGCCTACTTGTCAGGTATTTGCCTATATTTCTGTATATGTCTTGTATATAAACCACTGTTAAATGTCTGTGTGTGCTATGTTTTGCTCCCGGGTTATCTCATAATAGTAGTTATGCTGCAAACGGTCTGACACCCTCCCCACTGCCCACCTGAGGAGCCCCGAGGCAAAAGTCAGGATTCATCAGGTGCTTTTGGGGACAGCTCAAAGGAAACAAATTGGGAGGAGGGCTACTCAGGAGGCTCCAGCCAAACAGGCCTCATTCCCTGCCCCATCCAGGCCACTGGGCAAAGTGTCTAGGCCTCCTCCCCATCCCACTTGACTTAGCCAAGAGAGCAGAAGGCGGAAAAAAATTAATCTAGGCCAAAGAAGGAGGGGGTCCTTGCAAATGGAGCTGGGATGCTTGTCTCCACCTCCCAACTTCACAGAAAATAATATTATGGTGATGCTGAAACCCTTGACAGGAAGGGATGGATGGAGGGAGGATGGAGAGAGGGAGGGAGGGAGGAAGGAAGGAAGGAAAGGAAGGAAAGGAAGGAAGGAAGGAAGGAAG